TATCTATCTATCTATCTATCTATCTATCTATCTATCTATCTATCTATCTATCTATTTATCTATCTGTCTATCTATCTATTTTTAATTCATTTGTTCATTCATTCCTTCGCTCACTACCAAATGTGATACAATTATGAATATTATAACAAGATGTAAAATACATGTAACATACCGGTAACAAAGTGAACACAGCTTCTGAGAGCTCTAGAAAATCCCAAAGTTCTTTTTGTTGTAGTTGATTTCTTGTAAGAAAATGTCGCACCTCGCTTACCACAGATCAGCCACCAACGATCTAAACATTCGTAGGTTGGAAAAGAGGGTGCATATATAATGGAATAATTGGGATTTTTAGATATTTTCTCAAAATATTTTTGAAATTCTTTGGTGCGGTAAAATGTTTTTTAAAAATATTGAAATAATCTTTCTTCTCTTAGAATAACGTTTTCTCTTTTATGATCACCACCTGTGGTTACAGAAAACGCAAGGAGTTGGCAATAATAATTATTAGAATTAAAAGTCGGACGATGGTAGGCTACAAAACAGAACTGAAAGGGATAATACAACTTACGATTTACATTTACACGATAAAAAAAATTCTGCCCTCACAGGAATCGACTAACTCGAGTTTACAGTTATGTACTATCTTTGAGTATACTACGGCGGCGAATCACAAAGTATTACACCACAGACGCCAGTCAAGTGGAGATTATTGCTTTGTTTTTAGAGAGACAGCGGCTAGATTCCCGATTATAAATAAAAGCTAGGAATCGTAGGAATCGACTCCGAACCCAATTACTTTTTTTCTAATTATGTGATTTCGTCCGATGGTTACCTTGTGGGCTCCGAACATCTTCAGGATTTAAGATAACCTTGATTTCGGAACACTAGACTACGAATCATCAAGTTTAATTTTTCAAAAATCAATTCTTTAAAGAAAGTAGAAAAGTTTAAGGATTAGAGTAAATGACAACCGCTGGTTATGAAACCATACTGCCTTACTTATTCTTATGAGCTTGAGCAAAGCAAATCGTGTCCGCAGTTCTGGTGTGCCTGTGGTTTCAGCTTTCCCTTTCTTCAGGTTTCAGATTCTTGGTCGTTGAAGGTCGCTGATGGTGCATGCCGTGCCCATTCATTGTCTCTGTTATGTTTCAAGCGTCCTTTTTCTTGGCATGCCATCTGCGTGTTCGGTGTACAATACGCAATATATTCAAAACTGCATTCCTTGTTTTGCCCAGTTTCGTTTACTTTTAGATAAGTTTCATTCATACCGTCGTCTTAGGTGTAACGGTTAGGCGCTTCGCTGTCTGACACAAGAAACCAGAGTTCGATTTCCAAGAGGGACGATTCGAATTATTATTGAGTACTTCAATCTTTCTATTGGGGCGTTGTAACTTTCTCAACCCGGATTGGAACTGACAGGTAGGGTTGAAGATCGCCTACTAAATTTAATTATCTTGGTTTTAAATAAGTGACCAAAGACAACTAGATCTACGTTCTATTTGTAATGTTGAAGATCGCTGCTGACGCATGCCATGCCCATTGACTCTATTCTTCTGTTTCAGCAGTCTTTATTCTTGACATGCTATCTGCACGTTCCGTGTATATTGCGCAAAAACTGATTCTTCTTTACGTTTCCCAGTTTTGCCTACTTTTACCTTAATTGCATAGTCTGTATAAGAACTTACGCTTTTTTTTTCAGACGGGCTTACTTATACAGTGTAGTTCAAGAAATGCTCTACGCAGCTTAGAGGACCATTATGGCACCTCAAATATAGACCTCATGACTCTCTACAGCTTTCATGAGACTTCAGTAATTAGAACTTCCTTTTCAAATTCTTGCGTACAGCGTGCACGCACGTACGGAACTGTCAGCTTTTTTATGAGTGAATATCCCTGCCCCCCCCCCCCCAACACATACACACACACACACACACACACACACACACACACACACATACACACACACACACGCACACATACATACGCACACACACACGCACGCACGCGTACATACAACACACACACACATACACACTCACACACACACACGTACACACACACACACACACACACACACACACACACACACACACATCCACACTAATTTTGGAGGGGAGTAGGCACATTCGCAAATTTTTAAGTTTCTATAAAGGGCCCTGTGAAACTGTCTACAGTCTGCAAGTCTAGGACCGACCATCCTTGCAGGTCATAGATAACGAGGTAGATTAACGTTCAATTTCTAGAGTGAACTAGTAGTAGTAGTAGTAGTAGCAGCAGCAGCAGCAGCAGCAGCAGCAGCAGCAGCAGCAGCAGCAGCAGCAGCAGCAGTAGTGGTTGTAGTAGTTGTAGTAGTAGTAGGTTCTACTACTATGGGCCAACGCTCTAAAAGGAAACATTGTGGTTTGATAATAATTATAATTTTGCCTTTATCCTTTACCCTTACTGTGAATTATCTGGATGTTTTATATATACGTAGTTTATAGCGCATTTTATAAAATTAGTTATTTTTATGACAGACAGGTTCATAGATCTGTAACAAATGATATTTTTATTATTCTGATATATGCATTGTACAATAACTTACGTTGCACCCTTGAAACATTCCCAACACATGAAAGTAGCCCTGTGTCAAGTATGTGTGTTGCAGCTTGGGGATCCCCGGGATGGATTGCAGTGATCAGTCTGGCTAAGAGCAACAAATAAATAAATGAATAAATAAATAGATAAATAAATACAAATGATCACTTTCCAGTTACGCATTGTATAATTTTTTTAATGAGAAAACGAAACAAAACCATTTTCAAAATATTCTCTTTCTAAATCTAAAAGTTTTTCTCAAAATAATGTTTGTAATTATGTTACTGTGGATAATGTTCTAACTTAACCCTCTCCCCCTGTTAGCGGTGCACAATACATGGTGCATTATGCAAGATGCTCTCTCGTCACCCCATCCCAGTATCAGGTTTCCAGGTGAATGTAGGCTAGACTAGAGGATTGGAACTGCATAATGTATATTATTTGACCCTATTTTTTTTAAAGGTGAAACAAAAGGAGCAAGGGAATGGGAAAAAAAGGGGGGGGGGAGGGGAATACAACTTTAGGATAACTTCTGGAAGTTTTTATTTTCTCACGTAATTGTAATGGACAGGGCTAGCAACTTTTATGTCGCTTTCTTGTTTCCTTTTTCGAGTTGTTGTACCGGGACATGGAAAAAATCATTTTTAAAAATAAAATCAACTCGACTATTAAAAAGACTTTGTACATAAGTTTAAGATTGGATCTGGGGAATTTATTATTCAGTAAATGCCGTATCTCTGGAACTGACTTTCCTAACAAGTCCTTGATTATCCTACTATTCCTACGCAGTCAAGCATTTACGTTTCACTCATACCGATTCAGATTCAGCTTCATTCATACAAACGCATTGTAACATTAACCTCCAGCCCCCTGTCTTTCCGAGTCTTTTATCCTGACATTCAGCATAACAATACGTTGCCTTTGGTTCATATATATTTATGTTCGTATTTCTGTAATTGTAATCTGTACATTATATTTTATATACAACAAGGCTGTACAAATTAATGTCGGCGTCGGTGGTATGGTATAGAGTATAGACTATTAGTACAGGTATAATCTTTGTTGACGCTATGTTTTATGTTTTTTAAAGAACCCACGAGCTCGTGCCCTTTTGCCCAGAGCTGCTCAGGAAGAAGAGACTGCGCTACCAGAATTACATTGTTCTGACATTTTTGGCCGTTTTGAGTTACTAAGACTAAGACCATGAGGTCAGAAAGCAAATGCGCTTTTTTTTCTACCAAAATCATACGATTATTCTGAGTCATTATCAAGATATTCAAAGAATTGCATGCGAAAAGGCTTGAAATATTGTGAAACTTAAAATTTTTTAGGTCAAATTTCTTTAAACTAGGCACCTAGCAGTTGGAATTTTGTAAATCTGAGGTAGTGACTATAGTGCGGTCAAAAATTCGTGGCACAACTTATCCTCAAATATCTCTTTATCGGATGAATCAATGTTACTCATACTTTGCAGGCAGTTTGTATCAATTTGTCCTGACTTGAACTTGATCATGTTTTTCCATAACAGTTGAGACTGGCTTTTAAAAAAATGTTTTCTTCATAAATATAATATAATAAATTTATGAAATAAATCAAATCTCCGTCACGCAGAAAATGGGATTGTTCACAGCCTTCCCGCTTCTCACATACATTTTGCATCTACGTCACAGCTCACAGTGAGACTTTATAGTGGCTAAACTTGTTACAAGAAATTGATTTTATAGTGAACAAGTTTTTAAAAAATTCCACTAAACGTTCTCAAAACATAATGTGTCCATAAGCATAATGTCGCGATAAGAAAAAAGACGACTTGCTTTTAAAAGTAATATTATTGCCCCAGCTGTAAACCTTTTAAAATCTGTAGCAACCACCCACTGAGATTTTTAATTAGTACTTATTAAGGAATTTTCTGTATTCCGAATACAGTTAACAAGTGTTTTCACAAATGATCTGTTATGACAAATTGATACAAGTCATTGTGCAAAAGCTGGGGAGTCTATGTTCGATAGTTGAGTATATTTGACAATAAGTTGTGCCAAGAATTTAAGACAGCACTACATTTATAGGTCTTTATCTGTTGTTTCTCATATCCCATACCTATAATATGTATGTTGTCTGCTCAAGCAAAAGCAATGTTAAATAAATACGAGTGTATATGTATAGATAACAATACCTGTTCCTGCCCATACGTGACTATTGGCCTATGACCCGAGTTATTAGATTTCTGATGACTACCTGTAGCATGGTTTTAATTTTATGACATTTTACGCCTTTTTTCCAACTTCTTCTTCTTGAGCAAATTTAAAGCAGAAATCAGCAATCATGGCTCGCCGCTCATTTCTGTCTGTGCTCGGATGCACTCCGAAAAAAAAACCCACTTTTGTTTTCCTTTCCTGTTCTTTCCAGTCACTGCCCTGCTAAATTCTGTAGATCTAGTCATTCTTGGACTGCCTCTGCCTCTTCTGCCTTCATTTTTTTTCAGTGAGAGCGAGATGTTCAATAATACCATTAATATGTCTATTCAAGTATCCTAAGAACTAAGTGCTTTGGGTTTTTTTCCTGATCGTCCACCACCAGCGTCTTTCAGCTATACTTCACATGATTTACTTTGATTTCATGAAATCCGCAACAGTCCTAAGAAACCACATTTGTTTCCTCCAGTTAATTTTCCCTATCATCTTCAGCAACAACTGCACACCATTCACAGCCGTATAGAACAGTTGGCCGCACAAAGCCCTTTAACATCCTTACATGTAGGCCTACTTGGCATTGTATTGCGTTGTCACGAAGATGCTTTTGCTGTTCATGATGGGACTCGCTTTATGCTTCATGTTTAAGGAAACTGTTTCGCTATTGCACGCAATTCTGAGCCAATTCTTAAATATCGTTTAGAAGTCTTTTCTGTTCAATGAAGCTCATCTTTGACACGATGGCGGCCATTTAGGTTTGAGAAAAGGTAGGGCAGACAGAGAGATAGACTGGCAGACAGATATACATGTAATAATAAACAGGGAAAATTTATCAGTAGAGAATTTGCTTTGAAGTTTGAAGTCAGAGCAATTGGCCCATAGGCTCTACGTGTAGTACTATAAGTAAACAGGCGAGACGGAATTAAAGAAACCTGTGACAAAACAGAGAACTTGTTATTAATGACACAGCATATCTGGCCATTGATGTTCCTGGATGCTGTTTCAACGTTAGTCAAAGAGTCTGCCTGCTGCTAACCAGCACAGGGTCAACTTTTCACCCACGGACACTTTTCTTGTCCCCAAAGTCTTAATTTTAAGAAGGGAGAAAACCAAAAAACAAAAGAAAAAAAAAAGACACGGGGGAGGGTTACAAAAAAAAATCAAATTAAAACTAATCACAGACGCAGCTTATTCTAAGAATTACATTTGTTTTTGAAAGGCAAAAAATGATTCCTTCATACGTTTCTTCTTCTGAAAAACACATCTATAAAAAAACATCTCAAAATTATTAGTAATCGGATCTAAACCTAGGAAATAGACAGAGGGGCAGATGTAGTATCAAGCAACTCAAAATAACAGATTCTTTTTTTCAGAACTTGGAAAAATATGTTTTTTAGAATTCAGCTGTGTAGCTAGGCAACTTGAATACATGTAACATGTACATGGACAAAGAAACAAAAGAAAAAAACAAAAGTCTTTTTCTATACAAACTTAACTTTTTATTTCTCATCCATAACAGTCGCTCATCACCACATAAACAGAGCAAAAACAGAGGGTATGACTCAATAGATGGGGAAAAAGGCTTAAAACTTTCAAGACACCCACAAGGAAAGGACACACATACATGCACACAGAATTAAGCACCAGTTAATGTATCAGATCTATTGTTGTACGGGAGCCTTAAACATGTTCCTGTTTTGAACGTGGGCGTGTCTGTATTCGTGGGTGTGAATGTATACAGCACAGAGCACAAGAAGGCAGAATAGGGGGGGTGGAGGAGGGGGATAGAGGGGAGAGAGAGACAGAGAGAGAGAGAGAGAGAGAGAGAGAGAGAGAGAGAGAGAGAGAGAGAGAGAGAGAGAGAGAGAGAGAGAGAGAGAGAGAGAGAGAGATATTTTATAGAGATTTTGCAAGTGTTTCAGCTTCTGCCTGTATTCAGGACTGGGATAGTGTTTGAGAATGCATGTGGTTATGAGAGTGTGGGCAGGTTTTTGTATGAGCGTATGAGGTAGAGCAAGAGACATGACGTTAAAACAAATAGAGCAGACAAAAGACGATAGACTGGGAGAGAGCACAAAAGAGAAAGAAAGGGTGGAGTTGGAAGAAACAAAAAAAATTGATTATTTGGTCAATAAAATTTAAGAAAACTTACCAATTTTCAGGAACAAATTTAATTACGATCATTAAAACTATTGACACCACACACGTATGTAGGGAGCAAAACTCTGGGGGAAACACCCCCCCCCCCCCGCCCCTTTTTTTAAAAAGTTGATTTTCTGGAAAAGAAGCATCCCCTACATTATCATCCCAATCCATATATCGAATTATTAATACTTATGCAAGAACCTGTAGACAACAAAGAGTACGGTACATATCTCTTTATACCTCATGCATATTTACAAAGATGAGAAAAGAAATTAAGACACCAATGAAGAGTATTTGAAGAAAGAAAGACGCACACACTCAATAGTTGATGAGCTGCAGTGCCATACAGGAATTCAGCACATAGAGAAACAGAGTGAAACAGGGGCACTCTTGAGGGAAAAGAGGGAGCTCATAAGACGTGGAGAGGGATGACAAGACATCGCTGTCACTGAATGGCTTCTGGCAGAAACAGCACAATCACTCTGTCCCTGCCGTGACTCTAAGGCAAGGGACCAAGCAACTATCCATGAGCCAGGATATTGATACTGTCAGCTCTTTTAACTCCTTTTGTACCAAGATTGATTAACATGTTGTTATAAGTGTAAAGAAATGCACCAATACATGAGTGCACAGCACAGAAGGAGTTAAATCAAACCAGAAACCAGTAACCCCATCTCACACAGATAACTAAAGTTAGGTTCCCAGTGTACAAAAAATATTGGAAAACTGAAGGAAACATGATTTAAGATTTAACCAAAAAAATATTGAGAAGACTAAAGATTCTGTATGGACAGGAAATAGAGGACCTGTGAGAGGTGTGACAGTCTTAGGCTAACAGCTTCAAATGCATCAGAATATTTTGACAAAATGGGTACAACATTAGCAAAACTGTGAGCCACTAACAAGTCAATGCTTTGGTTGAGCAGACATTTGAAAGGGTTCAGTAAAGTAACAATTACTGTGAAACAAATATTTAAAAATTCAATATAAAGATATTTTCAACATGGACAAAACAAAAATGAAAATTAAATTTGAATACTTACCATAAAAATAAATCTTTGCAAATACTAAAATTAATTTTTTTAAATCAAATTTGAAAGGTTGAATCTCAGTCTCAATAAGCAAAGAGACCAAAGTCTACTCATAATCAATCAATCTATCTATCCCAACAGACAACCAGCTATTCTAAAAGAAAAGGTGGGGGGAATTAAAGGTCAGATTCAGACAGTAAACCCATCTTCAATAAATTTAATAATCATAAATTAAGCCAGTCTTCAGAGCATCATTTTTTTAAACAAAAGAAGTTGTCATCCAAAAGGGCAACCAGAAATTAACCTTGGATCAGACACAATTAAAACTGCCTTCCCAAATTATGCTAATTGACAAACGAACTTGACACAATTATAGGTACACAAATTGAAGCATTTCCTTAGATTGAAAATGAATAGAATGTCATCATGCACCAACAAAAAATCCCCACATGACTTTTCCTAATTTACAACTTGAAAAATAAACCCCCCAAAAAATATAATGTGCCTGCTCCTGAGAAAGAAGAGTGGAAGTGAGTAAAAGAAGGTACATTTGATGAAAAAGCTGGAAGAAAATGTTAACTGTTGAGAAAAAAATCCAATTAATCAAACAATACCAAACAGAAGCAAAAACAACAGTCACCACGTGTTTCCCATAAAAATAAAAAATAAAAAAACAATCAAAAGTCTGCAGGACCCAAATAGAATCATCAGAGCAATGTTCAAAGAAAACACACATACATACATACATACACACACACACATATAATATAATATGTAATTTTGGCAAAATAATTGTTAAGCTGCTGCTACACATTCACAGTGGAGTATGTATACAATAAATTCCCAAGTACCAGATGCTGAGACCTTTGGGCTTATCTTTAAAACAAGGTTCATTGTAACCATTCAAAGGCAAATGAGAAAAAAAATCCGAAATTTTGACACATTGTGCATTCAAAGAGAAAGCTTTTGAAATGTAGCTGGAACGTCATCTCAATGGCGTCGGTTGTCTAGTGGTTAAGCAGTTGTGCTCACAACTGCAAGGTCATCAGTTCGAACCCTGAAAGGGGTCCGATATTGTGTCCATGGGAAAAGGCACTTTACACAAATTTCACTTCACCCAGGTGCTTATTGACATGGTGAGCTATATGACATAGGTGCATTTCTCATTGCTTGATGAATGAATGTTTGTTACCATCCATGTTGTCATAGACAAACTTATTATACACTTACTCCACTGTATTGCCCATGCTGGCGGCCATAGGCAATGCTGTATCATATTCTTGGGGTGGGAAGTCTGTTTTGATCAATGCAGTTTTAAGAAACCGTCAGAGGGAGTAGGTAGAGCCGCGGCGCCAGAAATGCTGGTACTTGTGTAAATACTGATATGAAAATATTGTCTTCATCAACACTGACCATATAATTTTTTTAAATACCAAAGCCAGATAGAAGACTGGCTCAAATGCATGTATGCACACACAAACACACTCACACACACACATACATACACACATGCCAGTACTCACATATGCACGAACACATACAAAATGTTACATAAGATATTGACAGTCAACAAGCAATCAAAGAGTTCAGATCAATAGAAGTATGTACAGTAAAAGTCGAAATTGAGGTGTTTTTTGCCATGGAGAAGTGAATTCTTCAAATACTCATACCACTCAGAGCACTCTCTCTCTCTCTCTTTCTCTCTGCCACTGTCAACAAGCAGGGGTTCAAATTGCTTCTGAAGTGACCTGTTCAGACGTTAATTGGAGCAGATTATAACTGGCCTCTGAACAAAAGAGAACAGAACAAAGAACAAAACGTTACCAGGAGAAGCAATTCTCCTATCAAGCACAAAACTATAGGAACTTAGAATCTACAAATCACTATCCCAGAGACAGTTGCAATGCAAAAAAGGAAGAAAAGTCCTACAAACACTAAAAAATCATAGGTATTTAATTTTAAAATTTCACTGCACAAAATAAAATTGGACCTGTAGTAAAACTAACCAGGACCATACGAAAACTTCTCTGAACAACTTTATCGTTATTAAACGAACATCACTTGCGTTCAACAGGAAGATTTTAACTATTTCACAACAAATCAAAGAAAGGAAACATCGTTCCTCCAACTAAAGAGGGCAATCAGAACAAACTATGTCCCAACCTTTGGGTCCGACGTATTGCTGAAAGATGCCACAAGCAATGAAATGGTTTGTCTGCATGCTTTCTGAAAGTTCCTAGTCTCTCTCCACAGCTGCATCACATCTGTGACCAATCAAACTGAGATCGTATTCAAGATGGTATCTAGTCAAATCATCTGATCTCTACAACTTTGAATACGTTCAACAACGCAGGAGAGCGACTAGTTATATAGGAGCCAGAGAACCAAGTTCTGAAACACACGAAGCTTTAGCAGCAAGGAGAAATGACTTCTTTCATCCCCCGAGGAGAGGAAGAGAGGAAAAATGACTCCTTTCATCCCCCCAGGAGAGGAAGAGAGGAAAAATGACTCCTTTCATCCCTCGTGGAGAGGAAGAGAAGCAAAGGCGCAAGGTCAGAGAAAAGAGTTGTCAAAGAAGTTGTTACACTAATGAGCACCCTGCTAAACAGTGTAAGTCATTCCAAAGACAGAGCACTCCATCCCCAGCCATATCCTTCGGCTGAGAAGGAAAGTTCCAGCTGATGCGATTGAGAAGAAGCAGGAAAGTTCCAAGAAGGAAGAGAAAAATACTTTTGACGTAATCCTGATTTGATCCTAGAACTTCTACTGAGCAGATCAAGTCACCGACAATAGGAAAAGTGACTTCTCGCACTTGACTTTCAGAGTACTCTGTGCAGTGGTAAAGAAATAAAAGGAACAAAAGTATACAAGGTAAATAACTGGCAGGTGTAAACAACATCACCCACAATACATTAAATTAAAGCATAAACTAAGATCTAAGAAAAACAAATGGCCAAATAGATGGAAATTCAATTTAAATAATGAGCACCAAGTCTTTACTTGAGGAGAAATGAGATTACTTCTATAAATATCTGCAAATCAAAAAGATTGTATAAGTTTTACATCCCTCACCATTAACACAATGCAGAACATTTAAGAAGCAGGCCAACGCCAACATGAACTGACTGTAATACAGCATCCCAGGAGGCAGACAAAGAAGATAAACATACCCATGACCAAATAGAACTCCCGTCCTCTCCATGCAAAGCAAAGAGTTTGACAATTACACCAAAAATAGCACTCATAAATCAAAGAGGAAGACCTTTCCATGAAGAATATATATATACAGGACCTGTATGGCCATCATTAACCACTACCAGTAGGAGAAAAGAGAACGCAAATAAACCTAATACCCCTCCATAAAAAAAGACAAAGCTAAAATACTTGAGATGGGGATATGAGCAAGTGAAAATATAAAATCAACATTTCTTCTCCCAGAAAATCCTCTAGAAACTACAATCTTTCTCCAACGCCCCCCCAAAAAACGACTGAACAATCATCTTTGGAAACATTGTACACTGAAAAGTTCTGATGATGCCCTTCAAGCCTTAAGATAACACTGCACAGAAAGGTTTGTTTTTTTTATAATTCACTTTCTGCAGATAGTACCAGCAGCGTACAAGCAGAAAATGTGAGTCAGAACAAGGAATCAAAGGATGAGGAGAATAAAAACCAAGCAAGGTCCATATGGTTTTGGAGAAGTTCGGCAAAACTTTTTCAAGGGTTCATCATCCCAAGACATAAAACGCTTGGAAAAAAAGGAAAAGCTGGAGATGAAATTCCAACATGGAATTCAATTGAAAACTCAGAAGTAAGATTTTAAACAAGAGGAGCCTAAAAAAGGCCCCAGTTCTAGGAGCTCAAATTAAATGATGCTTTCAAAATTTCAGACAATTCAAAACAGTTCGTTCAGCTCCAAACCTATCTGGTAGTTTGCATTTGGCCATAACCATTTATTTTTCTGATTAAATCAGAAAACAGACCATGAGACTGCCAAAACTCATAGCATGGCGCACAAGAGTACCTGCACAGCTGAGGCATTTGGTTTCCATATATTCTGAGGATGTAGCAATTTTTTTCCCTCTTTCCCATTTCACCTCATAAGCTGTATTCAAACCCTCACTGCCAGAGCTGCAAATCTTAACGAATGTAAAAATTTCATCCCTTAAAAGTGTTTGAAAAAGAGCAATAAATTATTAAATATCCAGGTGTACACTGGCAATATCACATACTAAATTCACAGTTAATATCCAAAGGCATTTTCTACTGAAAGTACTGTGACACTCAGAAGGAAATGAACCCAGCAAAATGTTCATACAAATACTATTCAAAAGATACCAGCAGCCATAACTAGTTTTAGCATGAACTGACGTGATGGCCGCTAGCCTCATGAACTGTGGGGGGAAATCCCAAAAATTTTAATTAAAAAATGAGACATGGCTCAAAACACCAGCATTTTAAAACCCACATATTATCTCTCTCACAGATGCACTCATATACTAACAACTAGACAAACTTCACCTCAAGAACTCATGTAACGAACAGGCAAACACACAGAAACTCAATACGATTATTTACATTAAAATTACAAGTAAACAAAAAGCACAAGTTCAACATGGTAATATTCAAAGAGTGGAAAGAACAGGAGTAAAAATGGCCATACTTCTCTTTTAACTTTGTGGAGAAAATGCTTGCTGAAGGTTTAAGTATAGCTGTCATAACAAAATCCTCAAGCCCCACATTTTCTGTCCAAGCACTTCTCAGAATCTCAGCCTAGTCAGTTTTCAAAAGATATACAGCTGGACACAGATAATATGAACGTGTAAAACTTGAAATCATGGTTAGTTTATACAATATGCCAGTCCCTGAGAGAACCGCTTTATTTTCTTTGTATTGGCAACACTGTTTTCTCAAAAACCCATACCCATTGGTCAAACAGCTCATCTTGAAAAACCTGATCAAATTTTTTCTCACAATTGTCATCAACTCAACTCTCCCTGCACACACGATGGAAAACAACATACCCATCACCAGCGAGAGTATCAGATCACCAGGCTTGCCCCTACACAATCGGAATACACACACTGCTGGTACCCAGACGCTTTATCACACATTACGTTCAGTGTGCATAAGGTACTAGAACTTCCTTAAATCTAGTCATGAGAGGGAGGATGCTGGGTGTTGGGTTGTGATTGAAGAAAGACAGTATAGCGCTGCATCTGGCTGTGTGGTGTGTGAATTATGTTTGTGTGCATGTGTGTGTGTTTGTGGTTGTTTGATCATAAAAGTATGGAGCTCTCACCAGTGTTGGTCATAATGTTATGATCATGATCTTATGTAAGAGCAATTTTTGTTAGTCATAAGGCTCATCAGCAACACTCTCTACCTTTTCTTGCTTCGACACTGAACAAGGTGCAGATGAAATCACAGGGTAACTTGGTCTTGACTTCACAGGATGGTTGGACAGATTCAAAAAGAGATGTGGCATCACTCAAACAACAACACTGTGTGCATTGAATCTGCTAAAGTAAACCCATGACAGTGATTTATTTTCTAACCATTGTACCATCAGTTATTTCCCCTGATTTTTTTTCAATATCCCTCTGACATTTTATTTATCATTTCCTAAAATTATGGATGTGTTGAACACATTTGCCAATTCCTGACGTGTTTGAGTTATCCATGCCCGACTATACTTGGAAATGAAACCCTGAGAAGATACAGTAAAACCAATAAAATAATTAATAAATAGCATTTGAATAGTCTGTGCTTATATTTAGAAAAAAAAACCTTTCAGATCAAAAACTGTGTCTGCACTGGTCACGGCATACTGTAGCAATGACATGCATGAGTGCTAATCTAGAACGTGATGAAACAAACAGTAAACAAATAAGATGATTTACAACATGATGAATACTAAAATCTGTTATTGTACTATTTTAAGATAAAACTGAGCAATTCTTTTTTTCCTCCAAAAATACAGTAACAACTATTTTCACTCCTGAACTCTCCAGAGATAATAAATATGTACAGGACATGTACAGCCCACTAGCTGATAACACAGCTTTTCCGACAGTTCATGGGCGGAGACTCGCAGGGGTTGAGATACTTGACCTTCTTGTGCTTGTCACGATGCACAAAGCTGAGCATGCGCGCACGCGTCTTGTTCGTCAGCGCGTATGACTTGAGGTGGGACTTGATTGAGTTGGGCAGCGGCAGCTGCTCGATACCGTAGATTGTGGTGCAAGACACCACGGTGCGGCAGGCCAGCTCTTGCAGGCTCAGCACTGGGAACAGCAGAAACCATCAGAAAAGTAAATAATCAGAGGTACAATGAGTCCAAAAGGTAAAGTGCTTTCGGTTGCCATTAATTAACATTTGTAAGGTTACACAGACAGACCAGTCCGAGTAAGATCAACTTCTTCACGACAGATACACAATTATTAAATTTCTTTCAAAGTGCCATTTACTTTCACTGTGCTAAGAAATACTTTTAATTTCACCTTTAGTATCTCTTTCTAAGTAAAAAAAAATGTTTGTAGTCAGCTTCATACAAATAGGGGCCCCAAGACTAATACCTGCAAACAAAATTCTAGCAACACACCTGACCATAAACCTTCGATTTTTTTTTTTTTTGGATTTTTTTTTGCATTGGAAGCTTACTAAAGAGTACCATACTAGGAATCTCTGAACCAGCTGAGCCACTGAATTCTTTAAGATCACAGAACAAAGAGTTTTAAATTTTCCAAATTCAAACAAATAACCTAAAACAAGATGCTACATAATAAAATTATCTGACTGCCTTAATTTCTACCATGTCATTATTTTTCATCAATAGGTAAATGAAAGTTATAAAATTAACAACAAATTTATTTTTTTAAATTACCACACAACACACAAAGAATCTACCTCTGTTAAATCCAAAAGGACGACTCATGCCATTTCTTTTCAGAGCCAGGCGAGACAGCTCAGCAAAAGACTCTGTCACATTGAAATCACACAGGGGGCTAACTTCGAAGAATGCCATATTGTTCTTCTCAGCATAGACCTCAGCACAAGCTTCACTAATCTGTCGGCGAAATGCCAAGTGAAGGCGATTGCCAACCAATATCTTTGGTACTCCTGGGGCATGCTGGAGGGAAAAAATTGAAATACACAATTGCTGGAAGATAACATAAAACAAAGAAATCAACAAAAATAACAGAGAGTCAAAAATTTTTTTAACACATTTGCCAGATATTCAGGTGTGGAGAAATGACAATGAACACACATGAAAACAACATTTGAGAAATTCAATCCAACCCATGTGACAGGACTGGGCTCAATTTTATTGTCAGCCATATTACAATTCTTCGTTTTATTTCTGGGGAACATTTAGCATCAGATGTAATTACATACTTGATATTTGAATTGTTGAACTTGTTTGATCTTTTCACCTTTGCTTTTGAGATTACTAACACTTTGAATCATAGCTGAATCAGATTTTCTGAAAATATGTCTCAAGCGACCTCACCCCCTCTTGAAAAACAACTGCTTGGTCACTTTTCCTCTCTTCTTTTGTTGTTACATTTTGTGTCTACTTGGTTCACTAAACTTTTATAAATGAGGTCATTTGTAACTGAACAGAAATGAGATTTTAAATGTGATTAGAAATAATACTGCATATAGTACTGGAACCTCAAGAGGGAACACACCTTCAAATCACACAGTGACATTTTAAAATGCACTTTTCTCAAATCTTTATCTTTGAAAGACCATTCATTACTAAAATCTTTAAATCTGAGCTACTAATCAAGATAATACACTGAAACTTTCCAAGTATGTGCAGATTTGGTAGTTACAGGTACCTGGCTAGTTATATTGGAGAAAATGTACTTAATATTTCAGAAATCTGCATTTGAAATTGATGTTGCGTTTAAAATTGGTATAAAAAGGGACATTACTTTGAAACCCCCAGAAATTCCAGAATATTGGAAGTTAAGTATACAAAAAAAATCAGCCTATAACTATTATTATGAACTTGATATTTATTAAAAAATTAACGTTACGCTTTAGGTTTTCAAAATTTTAACAATTTTGTTAAGTATTGTACAATTTCAATATGGCCACCGGTGTTACAAAACACTTTGGGTTAAACTGTTTTTAAACATTTTTATTTATTTCTGGGAGGGTACCACATATTTTGAGGAAGTTTGGTTTCAAAGATGCATAAATAAATAACGAAGATAGCTTTTCTTGGTAGCAAGACCCCTTAAAACTGTGCCGTCGCCATGTCTGATGTTATTTGTATTTTCTCCCAATCACTTTGAGACCATGACTTTCTTCTGGATTTCTAAGGAATGTTTCACTTTAGTACCTCCCATATAACAATATTCAAAATATAAAAACACATTATATTCAGTTATACAACAAAAGAACAATCCCTACTCAGATGTTGGCTTTATAGGGTACATTTCAAAGAGACTATTTACCTTTAACAAGCTTACTTTTGAAATTGCAAGGACAGAGCAAATTTGAGGCTTTTGATGATTATCTTTCATAAAAATATTCAAAATTCAGAAGATTCACAAAAAACAAATGTGGGAATACCTCATCTATTTCCTTGATCCATCTGTCAATTCCATCAAACGACCATTTGTTGGTGATGTCATACACCAACAGGATACCCTGAAAAAGAACATACAAGGGAAAAGTGTTGCTGTTTGGGACTATATACCTCAAAATATAAGTGTATAACGTGACTATTTTTATATTTTATGCTCTTCTTTATTTTTGCACTCATAAGCAATATCATCATTATCAATGTATATTTTAAAAAATATTCTCTTCTCTATTAACTATTTATTCTTTGTAAACAGATAGAAAAAAGTCCAACCCATTAACTTGCTTGCGTTAGACAATTAAGAGTCGCTTACCTTCATAAGTATCAAGAAAATAAGGCAAAAATCCAGCCCTTTTCTAACAGCTTAAGGACAATCCTAAGACACAAATTTTGATTCAGATTTTAAAATCATTTGTTCAGATCTACTACTTTTGATATGAACTTAAAATATCAATCATTCAAACCTACTATTTTCGATCATATACTCACAAGAAAGGTTAGTAGTAGAGGGTTTTTACGGTGCTCGCAACTGCATAAGGTCATATGAGCGCCAAGGGGTGGGTGTCAACAGAGAAGTCCTTACAGGGAATCAGACTTACTCTGCTCACCTCTCTAGCTTTAACAGCACAAAGTCTGCTTCGACTATCAAGGCACCCCAGAAACAGCAGGTCACAAGAGTGTGACAAACATACAAAAGTAGAGGAAAATGACAATAGTAAGGATTAGGAAAGAAAAAGCAGCAGTTTCCTGCTGCAGATCAGGCACAGTTATGAGCGTCACATGATGAATCAGCCCATTTACAATTCTACTGTGCTTGAACGAGAAATTTCCCTCTTTTGGGAATGGCCTAAAGACACTACAGTCAGTGGCACTGCCCCGGGGGGTGCGAGAAAGGTTAGAAACGGATTAATTTAAATGTCTTGTAAGTGATAACTTATTGTATTCTGCTCTCATCATGTGACCAAATCACAAAAAATGAAAGTTCTTTCAGTTGGGACTAAATGCACGTCTATGTGTGAAGTAGTGTTTTCAGTTTTTTTAGTCAAAGTTTTATGCACTTACAACACAATTAGGCTATATAAGTGTCGAAGATCAGAGGTTTTACAAGAAAGTAACAAACACAAAAAAGAAGGAGGCAAGATCAGAATGACAGATATAGGAAAGAAGGAGCAAACTACACCAGAGCACCTGCCAACAACCCGTTTGTGAAGCTGTGTAAAACCAGGATATTTTCCATCAGAAGCTTAGGTGCACTCATCCTGTAGGTTCGGGGGGGGGGGGGGGGGGGGGGGGGATTGCGTGCCCAGGGTTAACACATGATTATAAAGCTCAAAGACACACAATTTGACATATTCGTGCTGTTTCCATAGCATGAAGCCTTAAGAGATGATACATGTCCTGGAAAAGCTGGACAGTCCCACCCTTAATGGTACCCAAACCGCAGTGGACACAGGGAAAGGTTTAAAAGTGTCTTTCTCATAGACATACCTGCAGGCTAAAAATTGCAAACAATGGAATCCACAAACTCTAGATAGTATAAGAATTTACAACTATAATGCCATGATAAAGAGTGAAATAAGAAACAGTGAAAACTACTGCACCTGAGCACCACGTGAATATGACCTAAGGATTGTGCAGAATCTGCCTTGTCCAGAGGTGACCCTAAAAAAGAATCAAAATAAGAAAAAAATCACAACCAAATTCTAAGGTTCACAGTAGACCTGTATACGACCAGCCAAAAGTCTATTTTTTTAAAAATTACATTAAAATTACACTAAAATGTGTGTGTGTGTGTGTGTGTGTGTGTGTGTGTGTGTGTGTGTGTGTGTGTGTGTGTGTGACATAGATTTCTCAGGTTTTTTCCGTACATGTACATGCATGTGAGAAAGAGTAAACTAATATCGCAATATGTAATACAAAAGAATACAATGACAGGAATGAAAAACAAACATGCATAATACATCAAAGTAACTGCAAAACACAACAACAGAAAAACAGTTCCATCACAGCATAAATAGATATTACCTTTTTCCATTACCTTCCCTTCATAATTCCCTTTATTTGTATTATAAACCCCATCTTTCCCATACCACACATACACACACACAAACAAACACACACCCACACACACACAAAGTTCAAGCTGATTCGTGTGATGAAGAGAACAAATTTTTATACAAAGCAACTTACCATAGCTGCAGTTTCACACGTTTACCATCCAACAATATCGTGGTAGTTTTGTAGTCGATTCCTAAAACGAAGAAAGAACAAAATTACTTAAATTAACTACTCTGACAATGTTTGCCATAGGAAATCTGAAAACTGAAAAAAAGAACTCTAAACGATATCATAGCTGAACCCATCCGAAGTGAAATTGTAGAGAAGCAAAGATTTTTCACTGCCTCTTTTGACTAATTTCACCTGAGGCAACATTTCCAGTTTGGGCAATGATAGGAAAGGGAAAAAGAGAAAGAAATATATTTTTAAAAAGAGGGACAAAAGTAAGTGTCCCCAGGTTGAATCAAATCCCATAGATTGGTCCAGAATGCACTCAAATGCAATTCATTGGCAGTTTCAGAGAAAGCTTGCTTGAAAGTCTTCTTGATCAAACAGAGAAAGTAGACTGGTGTCTCAGCTCATCCTCTTACACCATCACATATATTATATTCCATGATATATTGTGAGCCTTTCCCTGCTCCAAGCCTCATCCATCCTCGTACTTTCCCTAGTATGTCTCTATTATATCACTCAATGCTGCCCACGTCAGAGTCATAACATGCTGTGATACATGAGAAACAAAATCATGAGGCATGGCTTGAGAAAAAACATGTTCTACCATTGACCAGATCAGACGAAAGGTTTCAATTGCTTTGTGTGAAACCTCTGTCTCATTTTCCTTTCTAACAGATTAGTTAACACTTCAAAGCCATATATAATTAATATATTATTATATCCCGTTTCCTCAGTCGGCAGCAATATTTATTTTTTTATAACCACTGGCTTATTTTTGTCAGGGAACCAGAACTGCAACCATTTATCAAGATTTACATGATGAAAAAAGAAAAACTTCCTTTCTCAACAACAGGTAAAATTACAAGCAGAAAAAATATGTTAACGTTGAGAAAAAGTCATTCCTACTTCATAACATTGTAATGCAAATAAATTTTAATTTTTTTTATGTATCATATCAAAAATTTGAAAAACCCTATCAAGTTGTCTCACATTACCAGCCATGGTCTCAAAGGGAGACTGAGTAAAGAGAGAATCAATTCCAATAGGCACAGAATTTTTATTGATTTTGTCAGGGGACATAGAATAACAGAATAACAAGGGGGGTAAATGTTATTATTTCAAAAAAAGCAATTAACCAAGAATGCTATACAGTCAAACCTGTGTAAGACGGCCACTCATTGTCAAGAGAAAAGTGGCCGTATAAGACAGGTGGCCGTCTTAGGCAGGACTGATCAAGATGAAGAAAACAAACATTTCCTATACGAGGTCCCAATCAAAAGTAGCTGCATTGTTGTTGTTTTTGTTGTTGTTGTTGTTGGTGGTGGTGGTGGTGATGGTGGTTTGTATTTTGTTTGTAATTTTATTTTTATTGCTGATTTTGCACAAGGCTGACAATAAAATGAAATGTATCAGACGATGAAGACCGAGTGCCATGTTTAAAACAAACACATGGGTCGCCACCACTCAGAGAATGAGCAACGCTTCTGTCACAAGTTCATGTTGACGTCCTTTGTTACTTTGTTACAGACTGGGTAAACAGTGACCACTCATCTCACTTACGATTTGTGTACGAGTTCTGGGCGGGGCTAATGGGTTATGAGGGATCACACGCTTACCTCACCAGCAGCTGAAAATTGGTAGTTATTGGTCAACTGAGGGAGGGGCCTACGCAACATGATCGGTTGGAGGGACTACCTAACAACAACGAGAGGTGATTGGATTATGACGGCTCGCCCACAACGCCAGGGGCCAATGCACAATTTATGGAAAAAAAAGAGGAATGGAGTCACTAAGGTGGCCGTCTAAGACAGGTGTTATTGCTTAGTGTGATAGGGGTTGTGTGTTAAAATATGGTGGCCGTGGCCGCGTTGGACAGGTGCCCGTTTTATACAGTTAAATTATATAGAAAAAACGCAAGGGGGGAAATGGAAAGTGGCCGTTTGTACAGGTGGCCGTCTTATAGAGGTGGCCGTCAGGGCAGGTTTGACTGTACTTGCATAAGTGTCTAATATCATATTTTTCAACGACATATTTTTTGCAGTTAAATCTTCTTTCGTGTCAATAGTTGATTATATATCATGAGGAGATAGAATTAATGTCAACAAAAATTCGAAAGACAATGCAAGTTAAGCTAAACAGCATTTTTTAAACTGTAAACTGTTTGATAAAATGACTACCAAATTTCAAAATGAGATAATCATTTGATGATCATTTATTGAAGCTGATGCTGGGTGAACATTTACTTTTTTCCACATGCCATGTCGGGCAACTAACATAAATTAATATCTATTTGCCCAACTGTAGTAAAAAAAAAAGTCAACTTGCCCGTTTTCAAACATGACAACCATTAGACTGTCTATATCAAGAATGAAAAAAGCTGCAAACAGTACTGATATGTGATATAAAATAATAAAATCATGTGTTGATATGTTAGTACATGATGTAATCTGCCTTAACATTGAATACTTTATTTTTATACTTTTTTCTTTTTAATTATTTCATGGATGAATATGACGTATGTCAGGAAGCTTTGTGGGCAACCATGAACTTATACAACATCAACGCACACCTGAGCAAAGTCTTAGCAGAGTTATACAACAAAGCTACGAGCCCAGTTTTTTTCAACAACAACATTGGGGAATGGTTCTGAACAACAGTGGGAGTACGCCAGGGTCATTTGCTCTCACCCACTCTTTTTCAATTAACATTTTCTTGAAGAAGATCATGACAGATGCACTTGAAGATCACAAAGGAACAATCAATATTGGGGGCAGAACGATTAATAACTTACGTTTTGCAGACGACATAGTCGGCCTTGAGGGACAAGAGCAAGAACTAGTCAGCGTAGTAGACCGTCTTGAAAAGACCTCCACAGCCTAAAGCATGGAAATCAGTGCTGAGAAGACCAAACTGATGTCTAACAACAGCAAGAACATCACAGTGGACATCCAGGTCAACAACCAGAGGCTTGAGACCGTGTATGCAGCTTCAAATACCTGGTTGCAATAGTGACAGACGAAGGATCACCTGAAATAATCTCCATAATAGCGCAAACTTCAGCAGCAATGACCAAGTTGAAAACCATCTGGAACGATAGAAATATCACCATCAAATCAAAGATCAGACTGATGTGTTCCCTGGCCATGTCAGTATTTTAGCATGCATGTGAAACCTGGACCTTGAAAGTAGACCTTGAAAGAAGGATCAAAGCCGTGGAGATGAGATGTTTCCGAAAAATCCTTAGTATCACATAAAAAGATCACATCAGAAATGATGAAGTCAAACAACGAATCAAAAATGAAATTGGACCATATGCTGACCTTCTCACTCTGATCAAGAAACGCAAACTGCAATGGTATGGACACATCACCCGTTCATCCGGCCTTGCCTAGATAATCCTACAAGGCAGTGTCCAGGGAAAGAGGACTGGAGGCAGAATGAAAAAGAGTTGGGAGGAGAACATGAGGAAAAGACAGGCCTGGAAATCTTCAAAAACACCCAGACAGACATCCAGTCTACTGGATAGGTGAAGGTGAAGAAGAATATGACGGCCAAACACAAATTCTAAAACATTCTCTGTTTTCATGATGTGTTTATTATGTCTGTTCTTCACTCTCCTGGCTCTGTCATCATCTTTCTAGGGCAAGTGTCGCATTGTAGTCCATAACACTTGGCCTTTATATATATGTGCACCAACATGGACAGGACATCTGTATTGAGCTTTGGTCTCCAGTCAGATTTGAACCACTTCATGGCTGAAGAAACTTTTTCTACACTAGCTGTGGACCAAGGAAGTGTGAACAGGAGCTCAACTTGATGAAGTAGAAGCTTCTGAAGTCTTCCTGTCTTTCTGGGTCTACAAGTAACTGGCTCCAGATGGTTGATGGCCTTTGGGCAGTTGGCCACTGGCATTCTCTTTATCAGTCCTTTGAGAGCAGACCACTCCTTAGTTCGTGCCTGCCTGATGTTGCAGCCACTCTCCTCAAGGGAATCAGCAAAGTGGTCCAACAGAAGACGTAGGTCGTCAGTTCCAAAGTCTGCCAAATCTTCAGCCTTATCTGGCCAGTCTCTTGGGGCAAGCAGCTTTGATGCAGCCTTTAGTACTTGATCAGACTCCTGGCAGTTGAAACGCTGAGCACGAGCATTGTGCATGGCATCCAACACTGTTTTCTCGTTTCTGAAAACTGCTCAGTAACCTCCTGATTGAAATTGTTCAGTTTAATGCCATCAAAGCGTGGCACAGGCTGACACTGACAGTGTGTCGTGGTTGGTGCAGTGACTATAACTATAATTAGGTACACAGTGAACATTTTTAATAACAATAGGCTTAGCTGTTCTGTAGTGGATTAATAGCCGGAGGTTTGCCAATGTCATCGATAGATGCCACCTCTCTCAGCATTAAGAGAATATTAAAAAACAATGACTGCCTTGTGATAATAACTTGCCTGGTCGCGCAGGTTAAGCAGCCACTTTACCTGCCCGACAGAGGTGGTTACCTGCCCCGGGCAGTCGGGCAGTCCTTAACGTACACCCTTGAGATGTAGATCGCCTAGCCTAAATGGTTTCCACTATTTAGTTTTGAGTCATTTCGAGAATTGATTTTGAATTTAGTGGCTAGTGTCCACTGTCCACCCACTGTGTCTTTCGGGTGTGCTGCTACAATGTTTGGACGGAAAAAGCAATTCCTAAACGTCAGTTGTGCTAGGGCAGGTTAGCTGGACCTGACAAGTCATTATTCATTATATGTGACGACACACATTAGAACAGAGACGATGATTTTATTTGAGATTAAGATGTTACTTAATGAACTGAACGTAACAGCATCACACTCTGACGTAAACCCTGTATGGTGCCCACCATTTGACTTAATTTGAAACAAAAATTAAGGGCAATGTAGAAAAGTTTGCATGAAGATCCACTCTCGACTATAGCGGATAGCGAGACTGGGAGACTGGTGTTTGGCACTTCATTTGGGTGCCCATGGTGAGCATGATTTGCAGGGAAGTTTTTAACAAGGGCAAAGAGCGGCTGTCATGACATTGCACAGTCTAGATAATGATTCAAGTCTAATCTGTTATAGAGGGATAGAAATAGAAGGCTAGTGCGCTGAGTAATTTATGCAAATTTTGCTTATATTTCACGAGTGAAACATCAGCTTACGCCTATATTTCACATGTGAAAAGGATTTCTGTTACCAGAAATGCAAAGCAACAAACAACTCCATTATATAATAAATTACTCCGTCTTAGTCTGTCTCTTAAATTTTATAAGGTGCGAGAATCTAATACCACAGAAAAAAAACTAACAAAATACAGAATTAATTGCATATTTCTCACTTAAAATTACTATATTATGTGAGTAGTTTGAGGGGAGGGGTGTGTTCCTCTCAGTCTCAACAATGCATAGAGTCTACAACACTTGGCTTTCCTTTTTTTAGGCGGTTGCTTATGATTCATCAATCATCAATGCGAAATGTTCCTCATATCATCAATAAAATTTAAAAACTACAAAACTAATTACTAAACAGTTTTACTGTCTTAAGAGTTAGTCAACACCAACTGTGCAGTTAGTCAGAGACAGACTTGAACTAGACTACTAAGCACAGTTAATCAGAGACAGACTAGAGCTAGAAATCTAATATAGATCTACATCTAGATCTGAAGTGAGAGACAGCAAACTGGGGATTGACACCAAAACTAACGTACAGATATTATAAAAGTTAAAGGAAGAGACTAGCCGTACTTATGATGGCTAGACTGGGAGGCTAGCCGCACTTTATGACAGCTAGACGGCTGGGCTAGCCGTCTTATGAAGTTTTATGATGGTTAGACTGACAAACAGCAAAAAATAGGCCTACTGAATTCTAAAAATGTATTCAGTTTGCAATACCTAAAGTAATTCTTGTATTTGAGACGAAACCAAAAGGTGCCTTGCTGACAGTGCATTCATTTAAATATGTATTTTAAACCTGAATAATTACTAATGAGACCTGTGTACTCAACAGGAGGTTTCTAATAGGGCCTAAAACAAGTACCGCTAGACTGGCAGGCTAGCCGTACAATAATGATGGCTGAATTGTAAATAAAATTTTAGTTTGCAATACCTAAAGTATTGTATTTCAGACGAAACCAACAGGTGCCTTACTGACATGCATCATGTAGATTCTAGGCTAGTTTTAAACCTGAATAATTACTAATAAATACTAAAATAGAGATCTAGAATGAGACCTGTGTACTCAACAAGTTTCCGTCAATAGGGCCAAACCTAGATCTAAGTACGGCTAGACTGGTAGGTTAGCTGTACTTAAAAGTACGGCTAGACGGCTAGGCTAGCCGTACTTAAGGCACAACTAGACATGTCATAAGTACGGCTAGCCACTTCGATAGTCTAAATAGTATATTATTATGCCTGATCTAGTTTAGACAGGGCTCCCCTTTTCAGGCAAACTTTTAAGGTTCCTTTACCCTTTGGTTTACTTGAAGGGGTAAAACCCTTAGGTTGTTTTAGAAACTAAAAGGGTAAAAGTCAATATCTCATAATTTTATTTTTGCTTGTAAACATTTAACTCACACGCACATTCACACAGACACACACAGAGTGACCATGATTATGATTGAATGCTGATTTTTAATTAACTTAAGAAATAAATGAGAAATATTGACTAGTATTTACAATATCCATTTGGAGGTGGGAAGAGTGGTGGTGGTTGAGCAGTTGCGCCTATCAAAAATAAAATTTAGAAAGTTTCAAAACCAAAAGGGATCAATTCCAACTGTAATACATCAGGAAAAATAGACCTACCACCCTATGAAATCTAAAGGTCAGGATCTCAGTGGGGGAAAAAATTAGGACTTGGAAAAAAAAATTGGGATCAACGACAAATCACCTTAGTCACTGCCAAGCTGACTTTAAAGAAATTTCCAGGGGTGTCCATTATTATCCATGTATTATAATGTATATTCCCTCTGCGCGCGTGTGAGTGTGTGTGTGTATGTGTGTGTGTGTGTGTGTGTGTGTGCGTGTCTGTGTGTGTGTGCGTGTCTGTGTGTTTTATCATTACTTTTTTAATCCTGAAGTATTACGTCAAGCTCTCACAGTCCAAGTGTTTTACACGCCCCCCCCCCCCCTTCCCAGATAAGTCCCGAAAGACGCTTCAACTTTAACCGGTGCGCATGATCTTAAACTGACCCCGTCAACGAACGGTACCCAACTCACGCGGGGAACTCACACGTCGAAGTCATGTCACGTGGTGCGAACGCGTGATTGAAACAGTTTTACTGACGGGTCTTGATGACGGGCCCGACCAACCAGAACTCGGACAAAGCATGTTTTGGCGAAAGTAGATCTTGAGAATGTCTTTTAAATCGGAATGCCAAATCAATACTACTTCCATTATGGTTGAAATAACACCTGTGAGCAACTTAGATCCAACACAACTTTTGGTGAGTCAACTACTTAATTCGACATAGAGACAGACCCCGTTTAATCCAGTTTATCCTCACCCCGGGTGTTCAAGTCATTGTAGATTCTAGATCTAGAACTATCTCTAGATCTAAGATAAGATAATCAGTGTAGAGTGTAGGGTAGGTGGGCTAGGGCCGCTAGGCTAACGAAGGCAAGGCTAAGAAGCTACTCTAATAAATCTACATCTAAATCTAGATCTAGATCTAGATCTAGAATCTAGATTCATTCAAAATTAAAGACTTCTCTAGATGGTAGTGGCTATTCTCACCAGGAGTGAGAATAGAAATACGATCGACCTCTCACCCCGGGTGAGACTTGCCAGCGTGTAGGCTATTCTCACCCGGTGTGAAACAAGACCTGTTTTTCCTAATTTCGGAATACTTTCTATCGATGTGGATGATCAAATGGATAAAGGCAAAGAAAAGATTACGTTATAGCACAAAAGTAAGCTAATTTTATCGACTACAAAGATGCTCTATGGCTATTTCACTCTTCGAATCCAGCCGAACTACGGGGGTCACCATTTTGTTTTGCCCGGAAGTTCTCGCAAGATCTACTCCTCCCCTCTTCTCTCTCTCTGTCTCTTTCTGAATACTGTCTATCGGTGTGGACGATCAAATTGACCAAAACAAAGTTAAAAAATGATGTTAAAACACAAAAGTAAATTAATTTGGTTGTCTACAAAGGTGCTACGGCTATTTAACTTTTCGAATCGAGCAGAACTACGCGGGTCGCCATTTTGTTTTGCCCGGAAGTTCTCGCGCTACTCCTCTCTCTCTCTCTCTCTCTCTCTTTCTCTCTCTCTCTCCACTGCCCACAGACAAAATTGTACGCTTTTAGTAGGCTAACAGTAGTAATGGAACATTTGTTCACGGCACAGAATTCTATAATTTTTCTGTTATCACAGGGTAGAATTCTGTGGTTTAGGGTGAACGCAAAATTGGTTGGCCTAGGTCTAGGCTATAACGGTGAACGCGCACCAGGTGAGAATAGCCAAAAGACTCGCCTGCACTATTCTCACCCGGGGTAAGAATAGTCTAGGTGGCCTCTCTAGATATAGACTAGATCTAGATTTTTCTAAATGGAGCGACTACGTACACGGTAACTGGGCACCTAGTCTCAGTATCTATGTGGTAACCGGGCACCTAGTCTCACCTAGTCTCAATATTATTATATCTACGTACACGGTAACCGGGCACCTAGTCTCAGTATCTACGTACACGGCAACCGGAATGAAAATAAAATCAATATTTGTCCTGTGCTGTCACTTGCAGAAAAAAAATTTAAGAAAGTCATAGAAGCGTCTTATCAGGCTCACCATCGACATCGTGACCGGTCAGTGAACCTGTGCAGGCGCATCACATGAGTACCGGTTGGGGTCACTAAAGTCAAAGTCTGTGCGCTGTAAAGTAGGCCTAGATCTATATATACTATACTATATATATATATTAGTAAGGCTACGGAATGGTGGGATCATTAATTTTTTTTTAAAGTAAAAGGTACAGCCGGGGGAGGGGTGGTGATGAAGGTAACACTGGATGAAAAAACTGAACTTGGAGTTCTGGACTACCCGGTTACCGTGTACGAGATAGAGAGACTACGTGCCCGGTTGCCGGTTACCGTGTACGTAGACTGTAGATCTAGACTAGATATTGAGGCTAAATGCCCGGTTACCGTGTACATGACGCTGAGACTACGTGCCCGGTTGCCGGTTACCGTGTACATAGATCTAGACACTGACACTGAGGCTAGGTATCCGGTTACCGTGTAAGTAGACACTCCGTTTTCGAAATCTAGAAAAAATCTAGATTCTAGACTTAGATATTATTAGTTAAGTTTGTCAAGTTGAGAAAAATGATAAAAAGCTCACCGCTGCTTGCATATCCGTATGGAGACTCAGATGCCCCATCATCCATTCCAGACAATAACTCTTCCTTTCCAACATCACTGTCCCCTACTAGTAAGAATTTCAGGAGATAATCGTAGCATTTGTCCCTTGGTCTATTTGTAGTCTGCAGGGTTCGCAAGGGCGAGGGAGAGGATGCAGATGATGTCGAATTCACAGCAGCACACATTGTTCATAAAACAGTTGACAACTAAGAATCTACTTAATATCTATCCATCTTCTCTTCGATAAGGTGTTGAAGCCATAACCAGAAAACTCACGATACTTCCTTTGCTTCGAGTCTGCAAATGAAAACCTAAACACAAAACATGTCAGCAGTAGACAGCACAGTAGGCCCAGTTGTTTTGATGGCCATCACGGACAGAATCTTACTTCTTAGAGACTTCCGGTTTTTGGCACCAATTACATCCGAAAAATAGCCTAGGCTATCGTGCGCGACAAAATAATATTTTGAAGAAAAATTCTGATACTTTCACCTTTCTTTGCTTCTGTAAGGACATGTAAACATACAGAAAAAAGTATTGTGATTCAAAAAGAATTGTTTCTAAATGTACAAAAGTTCTGTCCTAAACCAGTAATATTATTATAGATAGATCTAAAATCTAGATCTAGATATCTAGATCTAAAAATCAACCGTAATCAACGGGTTTCGAATAACCGGTGTTTTACGGTGAAGGATGAAGATATCCCTCTTTAATGTTCAAAAACAAAAACGGCAGAACGCAAAGATTTGCATTTACACTTCCGGTTCCTAGTTTCATTTCTGTTTTCTTCATTAGGCCGAGTGTCTATGAGTTGTGGAAAACTCCCACATGTTTGGTTGATTTGTGGTTGAATTATCGCCTCCAGCTGTGTCAAAATATTAACAATGTCCATAGATCTTGTATCCAGAAGCCTTGACCTTGATGCAGGTAACGAAATAATAATAATAATAGAGACTCTAGATCTAGATATAGTTCATATAGATCTAGAATCTAGATCTAGATATAGATCTAGATCTAGATCTAGATCTAGATTAGATCTAATAATTATCTAGATAAAAAATTTAGATCTAATCTAGATCTAGAATCTAGATCTAGATTCTAGATCTAGATTATATCTAGAATCTAGATCTAGACTAGAATCTAGATTTAGATCTAGATATTATAGATCTAGGCTGCTCTTATTGGCCCACATGGGCAAATAAGCTGGGGCTTATTGGCCCACATGGGCCATTTAATGCGTTGTTTTTTCAATGTATTTC